TGGGACTACAGGCACATGCCACCACAACCAGATAATTTTTTTCATTTTTTTAGTAGAGGTGGGTTTTCACCATGTTTGCCAGGCTGGTCTCGAATTCCTGACCTCAAGTGATTTGCCTGCTTCAGCGTCCCAAAGTATTGGGATTACAGACTTAAGCCACCAAACCTGGCCTGGCCTGTAGTTTTCTTTTCTAGTGTTGTTTTTGCCAGGATATGGTATCAGGGTGATGTTGGCTAATAAATTGTGTTTTGAAGTGTTCTTGCTTGTATTTTTTAGGAGAGTTTAAGAAATATTAGTATTAATACTTCCTGGGCTTTTCTTTGTTGGAAGGTTTCTGATTACTAGATTCAATATTCCTATTTGTTGTGAGTCTGTTAAAGCTTTCTATTTCTCTGTTACTCAGTTTTGGTGTGTTATATGTTTCTAGGAATTTATCCATTTCCTCTAGGTTAACCAATTTGTTAGCATATAAATTCTCATAATAGTCCCTTATGGTTCTGTTTCTGTGACATCAGTTGTAATGTCTCATCTTTCATTTACATTTTATTTATATGCATGTTCTCTCTTTTTTTTTCTTAGTCTAGCTAAGGACTTGCCAATTTTGCTTATTTTTTCCAAAAAAATCAACTCCTAGTTTTGTCAATTTTTTCCAACTGTTTTTCTATTCTCTTTTTGATTTATTTCTGCTCTAACATTTATTATTTCCTTTGTTCTGCTACCTTTGGGCTTAGTTTTCTTCTTCTTCTTCTTTCTTCTTTCTTTCTCCCCTCCCCCTCCCCCTCCCCCTCCCCCTCCTCCTCCTCGTTGTTTATTTCATATCTTTCTTCTTTTTAAATATAGGCATTTATTGCTATAAATTCCCCAATTAGTATGCTTTTACTGTATCCTTTGAGTTTTGGTATGTTTTCATAATATGAAAACATATCAAGATTTCAATTTCTTCTGTGACCCAATGGTCATTCAAGAATGTGTTGTTTAGTTTACACATATTTGTGAATTTTCATGTTTTCTTATTGTTATTGATTTGTAGTTTGAATCCATTGTGGTCAGAAAATATACTTGGTATGATTTTAATCTTCTTAAATTTGTTATGACTTGTTTTGTGACCTGAAAGGTGATCTGTCTTGAAGAATGTTCTCTGTGTGCTTGATAATCCTGCTGTTGGGTGGAAAGTTCTATACGTACATTTTAGGTCCATTGGGTCTATTTTATTCTTCAGTTCTGCTGTATCCTTATTGATTTTCTATTGGATGATCTATTCATTATAGAGAGTGGAGCATTGAAGACCACTATATTGTATTGTTATTGATTTCTCCTTCCACGTCTGTCAATGTTTGCTTTATATATTTAGTTACTTTCATGTTGGGTACATATATATTTATAATTGTTACATCTTACTGTTCAAGTGACCCTTTTATTATATAGTGACCTTCTATGTCTCGCGTCACAGTTTTTCACTTAAAGACTATTTTTTCTCATACAAGTATAGCCACCTCTGCTCTCTTTTGGTTGCAGTTTATATGGCATAACTTTCTCCACCCCTTCACTTTCAGCCTATATGTGTTCTTAAATCAAAAGTGAGTCTGTTATCAACAACGTACATTTGGGTCTTGTTTGTTTTTGTTCCTTCCTTCCCATCTCTGAATTGTTGGCTTTTTAAAAACCCCATTCTGTTACTCTTTGTCTTTTGATTGGGGAGTCCGTTTACACTTAAAGTAATTATTGATATGTAAGGACTTTCTATTGCCATTCTGTTAATAGTTTAGTGTTTTGTAGTTTTTTGTTCCTTTCTTCTTTTTCTTTCTTTGTGGTTTGATGATTTTTGCTTGGTTGTGTTTTGATTCTTTTCTCATTATCTTTTGTATATCTACTATACGTGTGTGTGTGTGTGTGCGTGTGTGTGTGTGTGTGTGTGTGTGTGTGTGTGTGTTTACCACAGGGATCAAGCTGAACATTTTATAGTTATGGAAGTCTGTTTTAAGCTGGCAACACCTTCAGTCACATACAGAAACTCTATACTTTACTCACTTCCCCCACCACAACTTTATGTAATTTAGGTCATATTTTACTTCCTTCTATATTTTGTTTCCATTGACAAATTTCTGTCATTATAGTTACTATTAGTATTTTGTCTTTTAATTTATAAATTAATATTAACAGTTATCTATAGCAATCATTATAGTGTTATAATATTCTATGTTTCTCTTTATATTTACCTTTAGTAGTGAAAGGATTCATATGCTTTCGGGTTATTGTTTAGTGTCTTTTTCTTTCAACTTGAAGAGCTATTAGCACTTCTTGTAAGGCAGGTCTTGTGGTGACAAACCCCCCTCAGTTTCTGTTTGTCTGAGAAAGTCTTTATCTTTGTCTTAATTCTTAAAGGACAGTTTTTCCAGATAAAGTATTATTGATTGGATTTTTTTTCTCTGAGTACTTTGAATATATCATCCCACTCTTTCCTGGCCTTCAAGGTTTCTGCTGAGATGTCCACACATTGTCTTATGGAGCTTCTCTGTGGGTGATAATTCACTTTCTTCTTACTACCCCAAAATTATCTTTTGTCTTTGTTGCTAATTTAATTATAATGTATTTCATTGTAGACTTCTGTGGGTTTAATCTATTTGGTTATCTTTGGGCTTAGTGAATCCAGATGGCACTTACCCTCCCTAGATTTGAGGAATTCTCACCTATTATTTCTTTAAATAAGCTTCCTTTCTCTTTCTCTCTCTCTTCTCCTTTTAAGATTTCTGTAATGCATCTATCATTTTGCTTGATGATATCCCACAAGTCCCATATTCTTTTTTTTTTTTTTTTTTTTTTTTTTGAGACGGAGTTTCACTCTTGTTACCCAGGCTGGAGTGCAATGGCGCGATCTCGGCTCACCGCAACCTCCGCCTCCCGGGTTCAGGCAATTCTCCTGCCTCAGCCTCCTGAGTCACTGGGATTACAGGCACGTGCCACCATGCCCAGCTAATTTTTTGTATTTTTAGTAGAGACGGGGTTTCACCATGTTGACCAGGATGGTCTCGATCTCTTGACCTCGTGATCCACCCGCCTCGGCCTCCCAAAGTGCTGGGATTACAGGCTTGAGCCACCGCGCCCGGCCAAGTCCCATATTCTTTCTTCACTCTTTCTCATTGTTCTTTTTATTCCTCCAACTAGATAATTTCAAATGACCTGTCTACAAATTTACAAATTCTTTCTTCTGTATGATTGAGTCTGCTATTGAAGATCTCTATTAAATTTTTTAGTTCAGTCATTCTTCAGCTATATTCAGCAATATTCTTCAGCTACAGGATTTTTATTTGTCTTTAAAATGGTTTTTATTTCTTTATTAAACTTGCAATTTCATTCATGTATTGTTATCTTCATTTTGTTAGTTGTCTACCTGTATCCTCTTGTAGCTCAAATGATCATTTTGAACCCTTTTCAAAAATTTCATGAATCTTCATTTCTTCAGGGTTGGTTACTGGAGCTTTATTAGTTCCCTTTGGTGATGTCATATTTGCCTGATTCTTCATGACCCATGTAGCTTTGCATTGGTATCTGTACATTTGAATGAGCTGACACCTCTTCTGGTCTCAAGTTGAGTACTCAGACAATGGGTTCATTACCAGCTCTCATTGGGTCCTTGAGTGGTCAGGACTGCCTGCAGACCATGATAAAGTGGGCCTGGAGCTTGGTCAAAGGGCTGCTTCAGGGTCCCCAGTTGGGCCCATAGCCAGTGGGCCTGTTATGGGGGCACGGATAAGTGTGGATTCTACTGAGTCCCTTTACAGGCAAGACTGCTTCCAGAACATGGTACAGCAAGACTGGAGTTGGCTCACAGGGTTACTTGTGAGTCCACAGTCAGGTCCAGTTGGTGGGCCTGTTTCCAGGAGTGGAATGGCATGACTCCTACCAGTTTTCTGAGTAGGCAGAACTTCACCAAGACCATGGAAGTGTGGGACTGAAGCTGAATCACAGGGCTGCTTAAGAGTCCACAGTTGGGAGGCCTGTTACTGTGGTTGCCAATGGGAGTTGCTCCTCCCAGATCCCTGGGCACATAGGGCTAGTGGTAGGACCACATACAAACAGGTCTGGAGCTAAGTTTCCAGGGTGGTGGGCTGCTTCTGGGTCCACAGCCAGAACTATAGTTGACAGGCTTGCCACTAGAATGTGGGCTTGCCTTATTAAAGCATTCATCTTTATTCTTGAGCTCTACCGGGGTTTCCCAACCTCCTACCAGGATCCCATGGCTCCCACAAAGGCACTTTTATCCATAGATAGTTGCCAAATTATTGTTCCTGTAGGGGAACAAGAGGTGGGGACCTCCTATCCCATCAACTCACTGACGTCATTCTCCTGATACTGCATTTTGGATTGCCCTCAGATGATTCTGCTACTCCTGGTCTGTGGACCATGCTGGAGTAGCAAAGCCCAAATGGCTTCCTCAACTTTTATGAGCCGTTTACAGGAACTCAAAGTACAAAGCGATTTCACTTGCCCCAGTCCTAATAATTTCCCTTGTTCCCACTCCTTCTTGGTGCGTTCCTTTTTTTTTTTTTTTTTTTTTTTTTTTGGGACGGAGTTTCGCTCTTGTTACCCAGGCTGGAGTGCAGTGGCGCGGTCTCGGCTCACCGCAACCTCCGCCTCCTGGGTTCAGGCAATTCTCCTGCCTCAACCTCCTGAGTAGCTGGGATTACAGGCACGCGCCACCATGCCCAGCTAACGTTTTTTGTATTTTTAGTAGAGACGGGGTTTCACCATGTTGACCAGGATGGTCTCGATCTCTTGACCTCGTGATCCACCTGCCTCGGCCTCCCAAAGTGCTGGGATTACAGGGTATGTTCCTTTTTTGTGTCTACCATCATAACATCCATCTAACCATAATTGTCTTATGGATGTTGGATGCTGTTGAGAAATGCACAAAGCAAAATTAGAAGGAAGATGTGATTGAGAGAAATTGCTTTTAACTCTGGATTCACTGTCCATGTATTTGTGATAATCTCTCCATACAGGTCTTCTTTGGCAATGTGGATTCATCTGGGATAAAACACAATATTTTTAACCCTCCAATTATTGCTCGATACATCCGTTTGCACCCAACTCATTATAGCATTCGCAGCACTCTTCGCATGGAGTTGATGGGCTGTGATTTAAATAGTAAGTGTCAAGTCGTCTTCTATCCTTCCTCCCTCAACCATGGGTAGGGCAACTAACTGTTCTAGTTATCCTGAGACTGGAGGAGGGGTTCCCAGTATCAGGACACAAAAATTGTCAGTGCTAAAACCAGCATAGTCTTGGGCAAACCCAGAAATACCATTTAGCCCAGCAATCCCATCACTGGGTATATACTCAAAGGAATATAAATCATTCTATCATAAAGACACATGCACACATATATTCATTTCAGCACTATTCACAATAGCAAATACATGGAATCAACCTAAATGCCCATCAACAACAGATTGGATAAAGAAAATGTGGTGCCGGGCGTGGTGGCTCACGCCTATAATCCCAGCACTTTGGGAGTTCAAGACCAGCCTGACCAACATGGGGAAACCCCATCTCTATGAAAATTACAAAATTAGCTGGGCGTGGTGGTGTATGCCTGTAATCCCAGCTACTCAGGAGGCTGAGGCAGGAGAATCACTTGAACTCAGGAGGCAGAGGCTGTGGTGAGCTGAGATCGTGCCATTGTACTCCAGCCTGGGCACCAAGAGCAAAAACCCGCCAAAAAAAAAAAAAAAAGAAAGAAAGAAAATGTGGTATATACATACCATGGAATATTATGCAGCCATAAAAGAGAATGAGATCATGACTTTTCAGCAACATAGATGCAGCTGGAGGCCATTATCCTAAGTGAACTAATGCAGGAAAAGAAAAGCAAATATCACATGTTCTCATAAGTGGGAGGCAAACATTAAATACACATGGACACAATGATGGAAACTCAGGAAGGAAGAGGTTTGGAGGGGGATATGGCTTGGAAGGTTACATATTGGGTACTACACTCACTACCTGGGTGAGGGGATCATCCATACACTAAGCCTCAGTGACATGCAATTTACCCCTATAACAAACCTACCCATGTACCCCTAGAACCTAAAATAAAAGTAGAAGAAGAAGAGGAGGAAAATCAAAGAGTCACACAAAGTGGGAAGAGCTGACCAGAAAATAGGTAACAATAAAAGAATCTGTGCAAAAGTTAATGCCTGAGAAATGATATTATGACGACAGTAGCCCTAGAATATCAGTGGAGGCTTCTCAGTATAACTGAGGCTGAAGCATGTCCCTATGATAACCTTCCTTTTTCTTTTCTTTGAGGTTGCAGCATGCCATTGGGAATGGAGAGTAAAGCAATATCAGATGCACAGATTACTGCTTCATCCTACTTCACCAATATTTTTGCCACCTGGTCTCCTTCAAAAGCTCGACTTCACCTCCAAGGGAGGAGTAATGCCTGGAGACCTCAGGTAAGAGGCAATAGATTTACTGTTTATCTGACTCAGAGCAGTGGTTGGGAAAAAAATAGGGGGAGCCTTTGACTATTTCTTCAGAGATATTTCTGTCAATAGTTATTCCTAAAAAGAGTGTCAGGGAAGGTTGATTATGGGCAAACAACACCATAGGCAGTTGGGGGAAATGATCCCTAATTGAACCTCCTGGAAGATGAATCGCTTTATTTAGTACTGGGCTAATATCTGTCAAAGAATTGTAGTAGAAAAGTCCGTTTTACAGATAAATATCAACAATTAGCTTTCTTTCCAGGTTTCTCATTGTATCAGTGGAAAGTAAACATTACTGGGCATCTTTGTATCCCCAGCATGAACCTGGGGATACAAAGGTGAATTGTGAAAAATTTTGGCCCTGAAGTTGGTTAGAGTTGAATAAGGGAGACTGACTAGCCAATAGAAAGTAGAGGCTGGACACAGTGGCTCACACCTGTAATCCCAGCACTTTGGGAGGCTGCGGCGGCAGATCACCTGAAGTCAGGAGTTCAAGAACACACTGGCCAAGCTGGTGAAACCCTGTCTCTACTAAAAATACAAAAATTATCCAGGCATGGTGGTGGGCACCTGTAACCCCAGCTACTTGGGAGGCTGAGGCAGGAGAATCGCTTGAACCTAGGAGGTGGAGGTTGTAGTGAGCCAAGATCGTGCCACTGCACTCCAGCCTGGGTGGCAGAGCAAGACTCCATCTCAAAAAAGAAAGTAGAGTGAGAAGTGCTGTGGTATGGTTAAGAAGGGATTTGGGGATTTCTGGGAGTGAATGGTGACCAAGAGGCTACTAGTCCAACACTGTTGCCCTCAGGTAAATAATCCAAAAGAGTGGCTGCAAGTGGACTTCCAGAAGACAATGAAAATCACAGGAATAACTACTCAGGGAGTAAAATCTCTACTTACCAGCATGTATGTGAAGGAGTTCCTCATCTCTAGCAGTCAAGATGGCCATCACTGGACTCTGTTTTCTCAGAATGGCAAAGTAAAGGTATGCTGTTCTCCTTGGAAAGACAGAAAAACCTCTCCTAGAGCTTAACATAACATAACATAACAAGGTTGATATATGACCAAACTTTTAGGGCAGAATTTATTAAGTACCTATGGTAGCAGGACATTGTAAAAGGCATTCTGAGAGAACACAGTGACCCCTGGAACATTTTTCTATCTACCCCTACTGTGATTTCACCTAACTCATTCTTTAAGTCTCAGATAAACATCATCTCCAAGAATTCCCTTATCCCTCAAGGCTGGATTAAAGACTTCACCAAACTGTCAGTTTGATGAACTAAAGTCTAGACACTGGATATTCTAGAATAAATTTCCATTTAGAAAAGCTTATATTTGTGATTAGTGCCACAACATGATGAACTTTGGAAACATCCTAAGCGAATAGGCCAGACATAAAAGGATAGATATTATATGATTCCACTTATATGAGTATGTTAGTCAAGGATATCCAAAGAAACAGAACCAATAGGAGATTCTGTCTGTCTGTCTGTCTCTATCTCTGTCTCTCTCTGGATGAGCTAAAATGTTTTAGTTCAAGCCTGAAAGCAGGAAAAAGCTGATGTTCCAGTCCAAGGACAGTCAGGCAGCAAGAATACTCTTACTTGGGGAAGACTCAGCCTTTTTGTTTTATTCAGGCCTTCAACTAATTGGATGATGCCTACCCACATTAGGGATGGCAATCTGCTTTACTCAGTCTACTGACTTCAATGTTAATCTCATTCAAAAATACCCTCACAGAAATACCCAGAATAATGTTTGAGTAAATACCTGGGCACCTTATGACCAAGTAAAGTAGATACACAGAATTAACCATCACAAATCTACCCATTGTCAATGTAGCACCCACCACACACATCTCTTTTATCTCTAAATAGAGACAAAAATGAGATCATAATTCCACCTAACACGATATAACAAAACTTGGCTGGTATTGGTAACTACCTTCTTCTACTACCCATTCTGTGTTTCCTTTGCCTTCAACAAGCATCTCAGCTGATTGTGGTTCTTTACTTAATGAGGTGACCCAAACCTTGATTCCTGAAGAGCCTGGGCCAGCAGTAGTCCTGCATGGATTGGGTTGCTATAGTTTCCCATTGACCAGAATCACAGGGCATGGTAATACTAAGAGACACTCTAAGGGAACTCTTGTATTCCAGACGCACTCTTCCATACCTCCATTGTGAAGTAGAAGTCCATTTTCCCCTTGGTATTCATTATTAATCCCCTATCCAGCAGAGTAACACCCTTCTTTACCTGTTGATTCAAAGGCAGGAGGAACCTGAAGTGGCTGGGAAACCATCTTAACTTTCAGTTAAATGGAATTTTTTTTGTGTCTCCTGGTAGAAACATTCTTCCTTCTGCAACTAAGACCTCTAGGCTAGCAGAACACATGGCCATGGGAACAGGAAACAAAAATTTTGTTAGTGCATCACTAGGGGTGATGGTGAGTGGTGCCACTCTTATTTCCACCCCTTGATTTCTGGATCTGTGAATCCTGGCTGTGGGAGAAACAACATCATATATTGAATACTAATTCAGAGCATATACAGCCTCTGAAGAACTTTTTCTCCAGCCCTGCAAGGCATTGTCACCTAGTTGGCACTGCAACTATTACTTCAAAAGGCCATTTCACTAGTCTGTCAAGCCAGCTGCTCCAGGATGGTGGGAACATGGTAAGACCAATAAATTCCATGAGCATGGACCCACTGCCATACTTCATTTGCTGTAAAAATTCCTTGGTCAGAAGCAATACTGTGTGTACAGCTAGTGCTCGACTTACGACCACGATTGGGACCGGCAGACCGGTCGTAACACGATTTGGTTGTAAGTTGAGTAGGCTATATGTACAGTTGAAATGGTGCACGTGGAGATGGTAGTGCTGCCGGAAGCTGGTCCGCACTGTTGTACACCCAGCTGGGCAACGTTTGCGCTGCCAGATGCGGAGCAGTTGTGGCTAGCGATTGTGGTCATAAAGTCAAATGGTCGTAAGTTGCATAGGTCGTAAGTCGATCAATACCTGTAATAACATGACAATAGATGAGGCATTCTGTAAGTCCATGGATTATAGTTTTGCCAGAAACATTGTGTGCAGGGAAGGTGTATATTCAGAGAAGATGTATATTCCAGGAAGGACAAAACGCTGCCCCTTCTATGATGAACATATTCCAATGTAATCAATCTGCTGCCAGATACCTGGCTGATCATCCTGAGAAATACTGCCATACTGGGGACTCTGTGTTTGTCTCTGCTGCTGGCAGATTGGGCACTCGGCAGTGGCCATAACCAGGTCAGCCTTGTTGAATGGAACTCCATGTTGCTGAGCCCGTGCATAGCCTCTATCCCTGCCACCATGGCTACTTTGTTCATGAGCCCAGCGGGCAGTGACATAGGTGGCTGAGTAAAGAAGATGACTGATATCCATAGAATGGGTCATCATATCTACCTTTTTTTTTTTTTTTTTTTGAGATGGAGTCTCAGTCTGTCAGGAGGCTGGAGTACAGTGGCACAATCTTGGCTCACTGCAACCTCTGCCTCCCGTGTTCAAGCTATTCTTGTGCCTCAGCCTCCCAAGTAGCTGGGACTACAGACGCGCATCACCACGACTGGTTAATTTTTGTATTTTTAGTAGAGACAGGGTTTCACCATGTTGGCCAGTCTGGTCTTGAACTCCTGACCTCAGGTGATCCTCTCACCTTGGCCTCCCAAAGTGCTGGGATTACAGGCGTGAGCCACTGCACCCATCATATTTACTTGATTATTAAAATCCTTATCTTCTGAGGTCACCCTTTGGTGAGCACTCATGTGGGACATAAATATCTTCACATCCTTTGCCCATTCAGAGAGGTCTGTCCACATACCTCTTCCCCAAGTTTCTTCATCACCTATTTTCTAATCATGTTCCTTCCAAGTCCCTGTCTGGACAAAGCACTTTGTACAGCCCATAATTTGGTGCATAATTGCACACCTGGCCATTTCTCCTTCCAAGCAAAATCCACAACCAGGTGCACTGCCTAAAGTTCTGGAAATGGATACTGGTAATGGGTGTACAATATTGTGAATACTTAATATCACTAAATTATACACTTAAAAATGATTAAAATGGTAAATTTTATATTATGTATATTGTACAACAATAAAAAGGCTACATCACTGACAATACATTGTTGTATTGAGCAAAGAAAGGGGAATCTCCAGCCTACTCATCAACAAAAATCCCATAAACTTTTATTTTAAAATAATGAGCTGAAATCATAGCAGAAAGAGGTGAATAATGAGCAAATATAAAAAGGAAGACCTTTCCTCAGAAAGAATGCCCATTTTAATGTTGTTTCTGGGAGACTAAGCCTTGAGCAAAAGGCAAGGAGAACTCAGTGTGAGACTTCTGCACTGTCATGAATCTCAGAAGGAAGCTAAAGAAGTTGCAGGTAAATATTATCCTCTGGCACCTGGAAGAACCATTCTCAACTTACTCTAGGAAAAAAAAAAAAAAAAGCACCTCCAGTTTAGGCCTCCAGGATTTCTGCATATTAAAATCATAAGATCACAGACATAGATCACCAAACATGCAAGACAAGACAACTTGAGTACAAGTGAACAGAAACAATCAATGCAGATTTAGAATTTGAAGAACACCAGATATTGGCATTATCAGATACATAATATAAAATAATTATGTAAAAAATCTTTAAAGCAATAACATATGGAAACATGAAAATAAAAGACAAATTATCCAAACTTATTTGGCAGTTGAAAAAAACCATTGCAGGTTACAAAATCAACATGCAAAAATCAGTTGTATTTTTACACACTATGAAAAATCTGAAAAGGAAAACAGAAAAGTCTATTTACAATAGCATCAAAGATAATACAACATTTAGGAATAAATTTAACCAAGGAGGTACAAGTCTTGTCCACTAAAAACTAAAAAACCCTCCTGAAATACCACAGGGGGATAAAGGAAAAAAAAAAAAAAAAAACTAAAAAACCCAGTTGAAAGAAATTGAAGAACTATCTGGTCTGAAGAAAGCAAATACAGAAAATTAGCAAACAGAAAAAAAAATAAAAAGAAAGAACTAAATAAATGAAAAGGCATGCTGGATTTATAGATTTGAAGACATAATATCATAATGTTGTTAAGATGAGAATATTACCCCAAACCATTTGCAGATTCAAAGCATTCTCTTTTTTTATTTTGAAATGGAGTCTCACTCTGTTGCCCAGGCTGAAGTACAGTGGTGCAATCTTCGCTTACCACAACCTCCACTTCCTGGGCTCAAACTATTCTCTGGCCTCAAAGCATTCTCTATCAGAATCCCAAAGACATTTTCTTGGAGAAATAGAAAAATCTATCTTAAAATTCAGCTGTAATTTCAAGGGACCCTGAATAGCCAAAACAATATTGAAAAAGTACAACATTGGAGGAGTCATACTTCCCAATTTCAGAACTTACTACAAAACTACAAGAATCAAAACAGTGCAGTACTTACATAAATATAGACACATAGAACAATAGAATAGAATTGAGAGTCCAGAAATAAGCCTATACATCTACAGTCAATTGATTTTCAATAAAAGTGCTAAGACCATTTTGTGGGAAAAGAATAGTCACTTCAACATATGGTGCTGGGATAGTTGGATATCCACGTGCAAAAGAATGAAGTTAGATTCTTACCATATACAAAATTTAACTCAAGGCTGGGTGTGGTGGCTCACATCTGTAATCCCAGCACTTTGGGAGGCTGAGGCTGGTGGATCAATTGAGCTCAGGAGTTTGAGACCAGCCTGGGCAACACAGTGAGACCCTATCTCTACAAAACAAGAAAAAAAATTAGCTGGCATGATGGTACACACCTGTAGTCCCGGCTACTAGGGAGGCTGGGGTAGGACGATCGCTTGAGCCCAGAAGGTGGAGGCTGCAGTGAGCCGTGATCACACTACTGCACTCCAGCCTGGGTGTCAGAGCAAGATCCTGTCTATAGA